GGAGCGCCCCCGGGCCCTGCCCGACAGCCTGGGCTCCAACGCCAAGGTGGTCCCCGGAGTCCCCACCTGCTTCGAGGTGAAAGCCGAGGAGAACTCGGACGGCCCCCAGCCCAGGGCACAGCGCTCGGCCACGCGCATCCGAAAGCGGTCGCGCAGTGTGGTCTACAGGCTGACCGTGCTGATCCTGGTGTTCGCCGTCAGCTGGATGCCCCTGCACCTGTTCCACGTGGTCACCGACTTCAACGACAGCCTCATCTCCAACCGGCACTTCAAGCTGGTGTACTGCGTGTGCCACCTGCTGGGCATGACGTCCTGCTGTCTTAACCCACTCCTGTACGGATTCCTCAATAACGGGGTCAAGGCCGACCTGCTGTCTCTTACACCCTGCCTTCACGTGTCCTGACCCTCGGCCTGCGCCAGGGTCAGTACGCGGGGTCGTCTGGGATACGTTCCTCCTAGGCGTAGGTTCGCCAATGTGTGCAATTTACCAACGTATTCTAGATGAGAAGGTCAGTTCATAACCTGTGAAAGATCATTTTACTGTGATAATAGGTTTATTTAGCAGTAGAAAGTCAATGTCATTCTGACTGGTACTTTCATTTTAAAAAGAAGTTCTATTACCTTCCATTTCGTGTTGTCTTGCAAACTAATTATTTTTTTTGTCTAAAATAAAAGTTATGTTTAATCAACTCAGTATTTTTGCCCAGAATTGTAATTATCCTTCCTGAGGAATATTTCGTTTCAGATTTGAAGAAATTCTATAATTATCTGTTTGTATTTCTACTCCATAATTCTCTCAATACTTAGTTTGTGAAAGTACAGAAAACTTCTTTTTAGGCTTTTGCTGTAGGTCCCATGCACTTGCCAGAGAGACAGAGAGAGGGAAAGTGAGAAATCACCTCCAGGGGAATGAATGGTCACACCGCGATCCCTTCTCCTTCAGTCTCCTGTCAGGATTTTGGGTACACGTGCACATACTCCTGGTGTGGTTTTCAAGATGCCAGGTCCAGGATTCGAACTACAGAGTCAGCCATGTGGAAATCCAGTGCCTTAACCACCATGCCACTTCCTTATGTCCAGAAAGTCATAACTATATGGCAGATGTATCCCTGATTCATGACTATGTTTTTTAGCATTGGGTGCAGCTTTGGAAATCCTTCAGAAAAATGCTTATTTCCTATTATTGAGAATTAATTAAAATTTCAATTTAACTCTACTGTCTTAGTAATACCCAGTTAACTGATCAGGCAAAAGTAGATGTTAAATCTCTTCTAGACTTATGCCACAACATTAAATACTAGCAAATATTAAGGATGTTTTAGCATATACTATTACTATTTTTAAGAGAGATTTTTTTGCTATAGGGTATATGTGCTTTCCAGAGAAACAGAAAACAAGAAATCATCCTCACCCCCCCAGGGGATATGGCCATTCCATAATCCTTTCTCATGTCTCCTCTTGGGATTTTGGGCATGCATTCACACACACCCTGAGTGAGTTTCAATCTGCCGGGTCCAGGACTCAAACCACCATTAGTCATATGGGAGTCCAGTGACGTAATTGCTACACCATCTGCTGGTCGCACCTCCTCCTTCTCTGGTTTGTGCCAAGACTGGATGGTCTATTTTGAGGGCTCTTACTACACTGGGCGGTCAGTGACCCAGCCCCTTGCCAGCCTGGGAAGTATGGGTGAACATTCATCGGGGGAACTCCACAGGCACTTAGGGAATTCTGCCCCTCACAAGGTCAAAGCGGCTTGGCTCACTCGGGCCTTCTCTGCCCAAGCGTGATCAGTCATCATACCGGCTCTTCGCTGAGTCCACCTCCCGTGGTTACAAAGGCTCTCTGATTCAGTCCTCTTCTGGACTTAAAGTTCGGAACTGGTCACAAGCCCCCTCTCCTGTTAGCTGCCCTCCAATCTCCCTGCTGCGTTGTGAGGGTCCTCCCAGGCGTCTGCATTACAACAGATGGAACAAGTAAGGAAGTGTGGTTCACGCTGGGTTTTTCTGTCTCCTTTTATTTGACTTCTTTCTGCCTAGGAAGAATATCACTTCCTAATATTTTCCTTTTTCTCTGCCCTGTTTTTGGCTTACAGTAAAACTATGCTCAAAACATCAAGGTTTGCTTTTGGAAAGGAGGCTATAAAGATACGGTATTTTCTCTCTTTCAGTGCTTGGAAACAAGACTGTCTCACCATGGAGCAAAATAAAAAGATTAAGTTGAAGACCGAGACTTCTGTATTTAAAAGCAGTAGGCGGGACGAGCAGATGGCGTAATGGTTATGATGTTGGACTCCCACATAGTCGATTACAGTTTGAGTCCCAAATCCAGCGGCTTAAAACTCATGAGGGGCGTGTGCGTGTGTGCCCAAGATCCCGAGAGGAGAATGGAGGAGAAGGGGCTGTGGCGTGGCCATCCCCCTGGGGGGTGATTTCTTGCTTTCTGTTTTTTCTGTCTCTCTGTATTTCTGGTGAGCACACGTGCTCTACAGCAAAAATCTCTCTCTAAAAAATAAAAATAAACAATAGGCCTTCACACTTTCACTAGGGCAATCAATTTCAAGGTTCAATATTAGAGGCTGAAGGGGAAAGACTATAATAAAAGCAAATATAAATACTTAAGAAGGCATTTTATCCTATTAGAGTAGCTAATATTAGCAAAACTAACTATCAAACCACAGGTCTTTTTGGTTGTTGCTGGATGAGTTTAGTTGAAGTAGAAAAGCGTAATTGGGCTCTTAACTATTGAACTCACAGCAATTTATCTTCTCTAACCAGAAATGACTAAACGTTCTTAATAACTGGAGTTGAGACATTTCAATGGGTTGGTGGATAGAAGTCATTAAGACTGGGACTAATGGCTTTAGGAGATTATTATGAGCAATAATTTCTTCCATGGGGACTGATTAGTGAGTTGAACAATTTATGTTCAGTCAACTCTCCACGGCTCGGAGGCTGGTTACTTAACTTTTCTCTTGTCTTCTCCCGTGTCTGACTTGATCATTTGTCCAATAACACCTTCGCAAAAGCATAGCTAGGGAAATAAACGGAGATGATCTTATAAACAGCCTCATTACTTTCTGACAATTATTTGAACATGTGTAATGCAGGAAGAGACAGAGTGAGTTGTGGTAATTATGTAAATGATTCCTGCTCTGTTGTCCATTACTGTGGATAACACGATAGATGAGAGAAAACGCTGGGGAAACCATGGAGAGCAACTGAAGTAATGAAGAAATGCCCCACGAGGATTATTTAGCCGACAGGTATCTGTTGAACATTTACTATGCACTAGGAACTCTTCCAGGTCTCTGGGGTAGGTCGTTGAGCAGAATTGACCCAAAATATCCCTGCTCATTCCACATTTTTCTTCTGGGAGGGACGGAGGGACCTGCCTTCGGGGCAGGAGATGGACAGTCAGTAAGGATAAGGCCGATGAATATACCAGGGACCCGCAGACAGGCTTGGAGTATGCATGTTAGAGAAAACAATGCCTGGATTTTAAAATCTTTTGCACCAAAATGAACTCATACTTTAATTCTGTTTTTCTAAAACCATTTTGAAACATCTTCTTATAGTAATAATATGATAGTATTTTTCTTTTTGAGAGGTTTTTGCTGTAGGGCGCGTGCACTCACCAGAAAGACAGAGAGAGACAGGGAGACAGAAAGCAAGAAATCACCCCTCAGAGGGGATGGCCATGCCACAATCCCTTCTTCTCCGTTCTCCTCTCAGGATCTTGGGCACGCATGCACACATGCCTGGGTTGAGTTTAAGCCACCAGGTCTGGAACTCGAGCAATGGTCAACTACATGGGAGTCCAGCAACATAGCCATTACGCCAACTGCTGGTCCCTAGCATTTAGATACATGCATAGTTTTCCAAGACTGCCTTAACCAAGTACCACAGGTAGGGTGGCTTAAAACAACAGAAACTTATGGGTAGATCTGAGGCTAGAAGTCTGAAATCCATGCGTCCTCAGAGCTGTGTTCCATCGGAAGCCCGCAGGGCTCCTCCTCAGCTCCTTCCTAGTTTTTTGGTATTCCTGGCAGCAGCCTGACTCCAACTTCCGCCCTGGTCATCACATGATGCTCTCCTCAAGTCTTCTGTTTCTAAGGACACTGTTTATATTACATCACAGCCTCCTACACACACACACACTCACACACACACACACACACACTCCAGGAGAACTTCATTGTAATGAGCTAATTACATCTGCAATGAATCTGTTTCCAACTAAGTTCACATTGTGAGGTTCTCGGGGTCAGGTTTTCAACAACTGTGCAGGGGGCACAACTCAAGCCTTGAAGTGTAGTAACCGTTCTCGTGAAGAGAAGGACCTTACCCAGCGCAGAGCAGAGCGGAGGGCCGTGTGTGAGCAGAAGGGGAGAGGAGGCTGGTGGAGCTCGGAATGGAAGGCTCTGTGGCCCTCACTGGGAAGACAACGTTGGTGCAGGCTTGAAGAAGGTGAGGAAGCTAGTGGTGTGCTCTCGGCGCAGGAGCACTCAGGGACGAAGGTCGAGCTGAGGTGGAGGCCGGGAAGAGGGAGCGCACTGGGAAGCCAAAGGAACAGGAAGGAGGTCTTTGTAGAAGTGCAGCCCCAGAGGGACAGGGGTAAGGAGTTGATCCAGGGACAGCTTGTCCAGGTCCTTGTGAGCAGTCGTCTGCATGTGGGCATTGATGCTTCATAAAATGGGGAGCTTTGGTGGATTGAGTAGGGATGCCATTTGACCTACACTAACAGGATCCCCAAGCTAGGGGAATAGACCACGGTCCTTGTGTTCCTCTGCGACGTTAGCAACCGTGGATGCCCCTGTGTACATACACAGTTACTGAGGAGGAGTCTTCAAAGACTTCATAGAAAATGTGTATCATGAGAAAAAGTGAGGCCGGATATGGCACGGTTGTAGCATACAATACCACGACACTGACCCCCACGGAAAGGTCCTGGGTTCAGATCTGGAGACGCCCCTGAACACTGGGCACACGTGTGTCCCTGATCCAGGCTGGATGAGGCTGGGGAGGACTGTGGCCTTGGGACCCTGAGGCAAGGGCTGTCTTTCTGTTGCTCTGTCTTTCTATTGCTTCTGCTTGTGAAGGAGGTAAATAAACATAAAAACAAAAATCTATGTACAGCTTTCAAAATATTTTTGCGCAAAACAAACTTGTACTTTAATTCTCTTTTTCCACGGACCTTTTGCGGTCCCCTCATATATTCATAAATTCACTGAGGTTTGCACAATAGTGATGGTTTAATTCTAAGAAATTTCATTGCTTTTACATTTATTAAATCCAGTAATTAAAAGTACTTTCCTTTATTGTTTGGTTACCCAGTGGTATAGCTCTTTTAGAAAAATCAGAAAGTTAGATTCTGTCTCTACATACTACTTGTCAGAAAATGACTAACTCGTGGGCACAAACACATTAGATGAGTCTGGATTCGCTGCT